GACGAACATACTTTTATTCATAATTTAAATACTCATCAATGATATCAGCTTGTCTTGATGGTAAGGTGGAAATATTAAGTGTCGCATCAATAATGGGAAGACTAGGAGAAATATTTTTTTCTCTAGACGTTGTTCTTCTCTAGACGTTGTTTTTCTCTGATTTCCGCCAATTTTCGCCCCATTACGAATCTTTCCCCTAATTTTGGTAAAAGTTTCGCAATGGCGTCGGAGTCGAGAGACAGCAAAACTTCTAGGGTAATGGCTTCTTCTAAAATACCAAAGAAAGAATAAAATAAAGTACCTATTTATAATTTAAGTAAGGATTCTATTTATAATGCTACAAACTGCAATTCAATATCACAGTTTGAAGCTTACATTATGTTAAGGGCAATCTCTTCATTATTAAGTAACAAAAAATGAATATCGTGTATGGGAAAATGATGCTTATTGGGATGCCTTCAAAATGGGTTTTCAGGTTACTGTTAACTGTTATCTTCTGTTAATGATTATACTATTGGCATAATGCACATATACCTACTAAAATAATAAAATGTAAATTATTATTATATATAAGGACTTACCTTCAAAATTTCCTAAGTGATGCCCCAGATCTATCTCTCCAAGAAATTCTTTGCATGCCATTTTTATATTTTTTCTTTGAAAAAAATCTCAAATCGACGATTTTGGAATAATTAGAACACAAACTGTACGCTCGCGAAGGGCAAAAAATATAGACTGATGAAGATGGTTTTTGTTGGAAGACGTTGTGCGGTACCGTACCGTGTGACCTTGTGCCAGCATCGACACAACGAAACGTTTGGGCTAATGTTAAGGCTATTCACATGGAACTAAATTCTCTATCTATTATCTTTTACCTTTTCAATGGCTGTTGAAGTAACAACTCGAGGATTTAATATAATCGATAATATTCATAATATTAAAGAAAGCATGTGTTCAAATGTATCCCAGTCCTTAAAAATGTATTCATAAGAAAAAGTTTCTTAACAATAAAGACATGTGTCTTAATATTTATCTGGAATGATCAACCCCTACTTGACTTAAATATTAAGAAAGAACTTCTATACTGTTATGAAGAGTTTCGTAACACCAAATACCGTTCTTAATTCGCAAGACTAGTCTCTTGAATAGAATAATGCTGGCATCAAAGTCACGTAGGACTTGAGTTTTAATGCTGACTTTTTTCAGTGCATTTTCAGTTGAAAAAGAGCACGATCGCACAAGTATCTTTTTCAGTTAAAAACGCATGAGTGCAAATTTTTCAAAAATTATAGATAATGAATTTGTAGGCTTCCATGTCAGAAAATTGATAGTGTTTTATTTTATGTGTAACTTGAAGAAAAACTTGGCTAACCCCTAGGTTCCTAAAGTTCATAGGTTGTCTGGTAATGGGTAACTCGAGGGGTAACTTAATGACGCGTCTGGGGTGCCTTATGGAGATTTGCATTACGTTGAGGCACCCCAGAAAACGTCATAAAGTTATCAGACAACCTACCTCTCTCAAACAACCTTGGGCTAAGCCTACATTTTGTTTTTTGTTTACCTTGATATCTTTAGAAACAAGAAAGTTACAGATGATCAAAATGATATCAAAGATGAAAAAACATCCGGTACATTGTTTCTTATGACAAAAACATATACGGTACAGTTTTTTCTCCAGAACTACTAGAGATCAACCTATCGAACTTTATACAGGGTGATTGCAAAATGCCTCATATAAGCTCTCTACTATATCCTGGGGGATCCTTCAAGGAACTCCAGAAAAATAGTAAAAATAATGTAAAGTTACTCTTATAACGAAGTTATTAGAAGAACATGGAGTTGCAAAATTGGCAATAGCTTAAATACTTCCACCTATATTGAATTATATACCTCTGTTCTAATAATGAACCCTGTGCCTATCTTAATTTTATTACGTTAACCGGTATTCTACCTAATTAATAGAGAGTTTTCGTTGTCTTCTAAAAGCGATTCCGATAGCCGCTATTTGACAAATTTAACATTTGAGCTATCATTTATCGTTATCGTTACCGATAAGTGCCGGGAGCTTACGGATGGAAGACAAAACCATAGCGAAAACGGAAAGCATGTGTATTTCCTGTGTTTTTTTTGTGATTTGTTTTTGTTTTTAAATGTCTTTGGTTTTCGAAATAGATTCAATACTAAATTCCCTCAAAAGATCGAGAAATCGTTTCACGGATGACGAAAATATTATTTATTATTTTATGTGCAATCGAGTGATCCATCTCGAAAATCTCGCACTATTTTCTATAATTCTGGCCACATAATTTTTTAAGTACAAGCCCTGATGAAGCCCTAAACTTTTGGGCGTAACGTTGGCAAAGACTTAACAGGCCTTTTATTTTTTGTCCTAACCGACGAATCACCCCCCTTCATTGGAAACCGATAGGACACAAACTTTTCTGCATCATTTATTATTTTATCAGAAGTATTGGCCAACAACCCATATGACGATGCATCTAATTAGGCTTTTGTAGTAGCCAATTTTGTAAAGCCCACAGGGAAAATTAATGAATTTTGGGTACTAGGCAATTAAAACAAAGTACAAAACGTATATAAACACAAAAAATTAAAGAAAGGTTATGTTTGTCGAATTCGACTTAACGTTAACGTTAAGCGGATTGAACGAAAACTATTTTTACGATCTGTCAAATAGCGACTTTGTTTTCGTATTCGTTATGGTTAACCGTTCAAATTTGGCAATGCAACGAAAACTCTCTAATAATATCTTAGCAGGTAACATTGCCGAATTCATTTTTTAGATTTAGAGGTAGAGATTTTACAGTTTGCAAAATTCATTTCATAAGGTAATATCCAACTAATGCGATTTTTTTTGTCATTGATCAATAAAAGACATATCGCAGTTTTAAAAAAAAATCGGAAAAAAGCAGTTGACTTCCAACTTTACTCAACTTCACATCACCAAAGTTGGTCGAGGGTTCCTTGAAGGGACTCCTAAGACGTAGGGGAGAACTTATACGTCATTTTGGAATCACCCTGTATAATTGAAATCAGCAAAAGCAGAGCTATTCAATGAGTTAATAATATACAGGATGCCTCATTTGGAAAAAATGTATGTTTGGTTTATTAACAACTCTTCGTCAACTTTTTTTCAATCACTTATGAGAAAGCCGAGAGGCAAGGGAGTTCCAGAATGCAAGATTTTCAAAAACACCTCGCATCTGAAAAACGAAAAGGACTCTGACAATTCTCCTGACGATATATTTCGTTTGACAAAAAAGTAGCCAACGTTCGCGAAAACCGCATCCTTTTAACTCCAATAGCAACCGAGTTAAGCGTTAATAGTACAACAACAAAAATGGGACACCATGTTTCGATACTTATTTCAACATTTTAATATGTTACAATTACGCTAGTTTATTAGTTATTTACATTACAAGTGCGTTTATAAGCATGATTACAATAACGAGTGTGAAGGATTAGAACGACGAGGTCGTAGACCGAGTCGTTCTAACCACACGAGTTTTGTAGTCATGTTTAAACGCACGTGTGATGTACAACGTTTTATCTATAGAGCGAAAAATAAGAATATTTTCCAATTATTTTCGTTCATTAATAGTTGTCTACCTTCATTTCACCTTTACAGGTTTACTTTCGACATTTGTCAAATCACCAAAAATAGTTGTGTTATAGACGCATAACCTCTTCCATAACACCACTAGCTGTGTTATGAATTCATAACCTAGTCTATAACACCACTAGTTGTGTTATGAGTCTCATGACGTAACTCAATATAAATTAAGAAAATAACGCAACTGTAAATTATTATTAAAATAACGGAATTGGAATTTGTTTGTTTTGCGCTTAAATTGTATGACATTTTTCTGGGTCACCTTGTATACTTTGAGAATTGGCGCAAAATGCTTATTTTGATAAGCTCTAAAACATACCAAAATTTGGAAAAAATCGATCGATTGCCGAAATCCCATGTGTGCGAGGTCCTTTGGCAACACTGTCGGATAAAGAGGGAAAAGTTGACATGTTGTACAAGTGAATTTGTTTTGAAATATTTCTTTTCAAGAAAAATTAAGAACAAATTGAAATGTTTCAAATTTGAATGGCACGTATAATTGCGCAAGTTTTTTCTGATTTGATCCACCCTGTATATTCCATCGTTTTCACATATTATGCTCAATGAAAAATGCAATTCAATGCAAACTAGTTTTTTGGTTTCATCTTTGTATTTAGAAAAAATTTGGGCAAATGCAAATACCCTAGCCTCGCCTTTTTGTTTGTTTCACTTAAATTTACTTTTTCCTTATGTCATGAGGTTGAAATTTTATCTGCTCCAAGCTCCAAGATGCGACAACAGCCAGCAAACTATAAGGGAATGCGCCCAACGACTCTTTTCACAATCTGCTGTCACCCATCTTTAGATTTCATTCGCTGTCTGCACTGTGTTTTTTTCCATAATTTCCATATCCAACAAAAATGTTGATCTATAGCATCTTGGTTGAGCCAGTTGAGGTCTGCTTACTAATATAAAGTGATAATATAGTCGAAAATTTATGTGTATTAAGTACATAATTTAATAATACTAAATAATGTATTTGTGTTTTTAAATTGGAGAACACCCAGGTATATTTTGGTACCTAATATTTTATTGCAATTATTGATCCTGGTAAAGGGTTGTCAATGGACCTTGTTAAATTTTAAGTAGGTACCTACCCACAAATACTAAGTATCCATAATAACTATGCTACCCAATATAGTTCTAAAAGGTATTTTACCTCTGTGATGTTATGCCTAATATAATTCTATTTGGAATTTTCTAATAGGTAATAATTTTATCACAATCGAATTCAGTACCTAAATAATTGTAAACAAAAATTTATTTCTCCGCAGAGTCTATTCCAAAATATTCCCTATAGCATTATAAACTCCCTTGAAAAAATAACGAAAATTTTGAAACTAATTTTTTTCTTTATTATTTATTCCAGACTTCTCAACAGAGCAACAAATGTCCCAATTTACATTGGCCGACACGGTCTACTCGCAGAACACAGCATGGAGTCACCCTATAACAGCGAATATGGATCACTCCCTGATGCAAATTTGTCCCGCGACTCCAGTTTCGATGGGGATGCCGTCACCTCTAGAAGAGGCATCACAACATGATCAAGAGGCACCTATGACGATGACTCAATTCCCTTATCAGCAGTACCTAGAAGAATTAGCAATAAATCACCAACTGAATTCTGATGTGGTACAGTACGCTTCAACCACATCAGTACAAACGAATATGAATCAAATTCCGACACATCGAAAAAGAGAAATAAAACACAGGACCAAATTCACGAAACATCAGTTATTTGTTTTAGAAACAGAGTTCTTAATGAATAAGTGCCCCAAAGCAAGTTTTCCCAGAATAGCCAAATCCTTGAATTTGTCGTTGCGTCAAGTTAGCACTTGGTTTCAAAACCGAAAACGGAAGCTGAAGAGGAACAGAGGTTCAAAATCTGCCTCCAGCAACCAGCAAGTGAGCTACCAAACAACACCAGAAGATGATTTTAGCATGTAGTTGCAGCCACTTACAAGACCATACAATCCTTATTTTTTCTATGTCCTTATTTTATATTTTCACAATAATGCTTTAATAGGTTCCTTTGTAAACTTTCCAGTGTTTATACTTATTTCAATTGTCCTTTCGGCTTTTTATACAACTTTTGTAAAAATTGTAGATTGCTTTTTTATCATTTATTATAAAATTAAGAATTTTTAATGTAATGTAATGTGTTTTATTTCCTACGGCTCGTGCCTTTATTTCCACTTTTTTTATGCGGTTTATTGACTATTTTTTTGAATTAGTGAAGGGTAGTCAGTCAGATTGAAACAAAAATCAAAATATTTCTTTATTTTTCGGAATTTTTTATTAATTCCATCTTCATAAGTAAAAAAATTCAAAATTGTATAAACTAAAACAACATAAAAAAGGAATTCAAAAAATAAATAGGCTTTAACATAGAAAAAGGCACTTAAGTACCACATATGTTTTTACATTTCGAATATTTATTTCCACTTGCTTCCATAGAAAAAAAAATTAACTTTTTTCATGAATTTATATGAACTGCTGGGCAAATGAAGCGGAACAAGCGAATTTTTAGTTCAAGCAATCAACCGTTTAGGTTTGGATTGCAATTAGGCGAACTAAAAAAAAAATATTAATGAGCGGTTTGCGGAATTTAAATGATTAGGGTGAATGTGCCTGTTTACGGGCAGCTAACAGAAAATTTGATTTTGAGATGTGATAAATGCCGGAGAATTAAGTCAAATTTCAACTGAAATATATTTTTTTAAATTTTTGACCTCTTAAGATAGGTTTACAATTGCATTTTTTGGGATTTTATTTCAAATTAGTAAATAAATTGAATAAATGTTGAAAAAGTGCATTTTATTCTATTTACGACCACCGGTCACAATTCTCGACCACTTTAGGGTTGGTTCTCGACCGCTCAAAAGTCACACAAGAAGTCACTCCTTCATATATCTTTATAAGGTGGTCGATAAGAGAAAAAGATCGCTCTGGTTTTCGACCGCCAATTTTCTAGGGTGGAGGGTGGTCGAGAATAGATAAAGATCAATTTGGTTTTCGACCACCAATTTTCAGCAATTCTTTTAAAGAACATTTTCATAATTTTTCAATTTAAAATGGTGGTCGCAAACCAAAATTTAGGTTCTTGAAGGCTATTTATAAACAATAAACATAAATTAAATTTTTTGAAGTCCTTCTTTAACATATTTTTTCAAATAAAAGTAATAGCTTTTGCATTTTTGTTTACGACCAAGGCGGTCGGAAACCGGAAATCGTCAATTTTTAAAAGCTGGTTCTCGACCGCCAAATAATAACGTGAGAAAAATCATTAAATGCAGTTTCTTCATGGTAATTTCAACATTTAACCCTTCTCTACCCTAAAGAAAATATTCCATCCATTAGTTTAAAATAAAACATAAGTTACCTATTCACTATTTTCAGATACGATGCCACTAAGCACTGCAACAAATTTAGAGTACACGTGGATTATTCGTACAACAAGCAAGACTTTACTGATTTTTCGCGGGAAAACTGATACGTGTTTTTTAGTAATGCCGCCAATTTTGAATGGGTCAAAGTGATCGAAAACTAATTCAACATTCCATAGCAAGGTTTGCCGGTTATTCTATTTATTGGCCCCTAAATAGCTGAATGGTCGAGATCTAGAGCAGGTCGGTGAACAGGCACATTCACCCTATTCTGCGAACCGCTTCATTTGTCCAGCAGTTTAGTATAGATAAGAGCTTTTGGAAATTGTCAGACAGCATGTCACAGTTAAAAAAATACGTTATTGATGAAATGGCAAAAAATCGAAATATTTTTGTACACCGTTCAGCATCTTATCTGTGAGCTGAGCTAAACCCGATAGAACTTATATGGACACAGGTAAAATGAGGTTATGTTAGTAGGAAAAATAAAACACGTAGGTATGCTGTAATAAAACTTTCAAGATGCAAGAAGTACGACAACTCTTTGCTGAATTCATTGGCAAATGTACCTATTTGCAATAAAACATGTTATTACAGAGGACCAAAAAATGTTGTACCTTGAAGACGTAATCGACCAGAGCTATGGATGGAAATCGGAAATCGAGCCAATAATTATCAATTTATCACATAACGATTTTTCAGTCAGATTCTTCTGAAAATCATTAGTTCGATTAAAAATTATTAGAATTATTAGAATTTTCAACCCTGAAACTGATAGAGTATACAGGGTGATATACATATAGCCTGTGGATTGGACAGCAGGTGGATTCGATGCTATTTCTACTAATCCACCTGCAAACTGGACAACTTCTAATGAACGAGCTACGTAAATTACGGTGTAAAGTACGGTATGAGCTCCATCACAGTAACCAATGGGGAATATTGCCACGACGAGGTCGTAGGCCGGGTCGTGTGAACCACAGCTGGGCAAAGCCCTCAGTAAAAGGGCTTGAAGCACTAAGCCCTAAGCCCTTTATCAAAGTGCTTTCAATTTCAAGTACAAATTTCTTTTTATTTTCAAAAGTACTTCACAAGCACAAAGCCCTCAAAGTGATTTGAAAAGTACTTGAAGCCCATCAAAAGTGCTTGCGGTGCCTTAAAAAGTGCTTTGAAGCTCTTTGAATGTGCTTGAAGTTCTTCAAATGTGCTTGAAGCTCTTTAAATGTGCTTGAAGCTCTTTAAATGTGCTTGAAGCTCTTTAAATGTGATTGAAGCTCTTTAAATGTGATTGAAGCTCTTCAAATGTGCTTGAAGCTCTTTAAATGTGCCTAAAGCACTTTGAATTTGTAATAAAAATCTCAAAGTGGCATAGGCTACCGCGTACACTCATCAGTTGAATAAGTATAGTAGAGAATAGAGATGAACTTTAAAATTCACAGAATAGCAGTAGTATTTTTTTTTTAGATGTAGTTCTGGGGTACTACATGGTAATTCAATTAGGTTTTCAAAATGTTTAACGAGGAAAGGTGAAAAAATCCAGTTATAAAGTTGAATAGGGTACCAATATAAATTAATTATTTATTTGAATAATCAGTTCATTCATTTTTTTCAATTCAATTCTGAGCTCGAACCCAAAACCTCCATTGAGAGAAAAGACAATGGACTATTCTCTAGTTCAAATAATAAAAAAAAAATTAAGCGACAAAACACATCGATCAGAAATTTTTAGGTGGGGGATAGGTTAAATGATGGTCAATTCAAATTCCTTTCAAAGTGCTTCAAGCACCCAAAAGTGCTTCAAGCCCTCTAAAAGTAATTGAAACTTTTTTTTCAATTACAAATTACCAAGCACTTTTCTAAAGTAAATGACTTTGCAAGCCCCAATTACAAATATATAAAAGGGCTTGGAGCACAGGGCTTTCAAGTCCTCAAAGTGCTTCAAGCACTTTCACAAGCACAAAGCACTCAAGCCCTGCCCAGCTTTGGCACTGTGAACCACACGAAACACGAGTGTCGTGTGTACTGTACGTCTGACATACAACATTTTATTTACGACCCGGATTTTTTTGTATGTTTTCAATATGGTTTTAGTTTTTCACGACAGATTATTCGGTGACCCTATAAAGCTCAAGACTGAAAGAAAATATTTCCCCGACAAGCACTTTAAGCAACGCTGAAAGCACTTCTATCTAAAATCCAAAATGTTCATAACACAGTCCAGGTGCTGTCAGTTTCAGTTTAAATATTATAATAATCTTTTCGAATACCTACGGTAAATAAACGGTAAAAAAAAAATCTGTTTTTTTAATAAAAATGAGTTGCATAATGAGCTTTGAGGTAGGTAATTCAATCAGAGCCGTTCTTAGGCGAGTGCAGGTTGTGCAGGCACAAAGGCGGCCAAACTATGAAATAGTGTAATAGTATATTGTGTATTTAGGTGGAAAAGTGGCACATTCTCGGCCGACGGTGTAAGTTGACGGGCGAGGCGAAGCCGAGGCCGGCAAACACCGAAGGCCGAGAATGTGCTTTTCCACCGAAATACACATACTATTTTTTCTGCGATCGGTTAAATACCTGTTAAATATTTCTCTTTTGGTTCCAATTATTCAGCAGTACGAGAATCACTTTCCCGGCCTAGGCCGGAAAAGTGTTTCCCGTATTGTTATTCATTGATTCCTTAGCAACTATTGAAACATAATTCAAATACCAGAATATTGAGTTTTGCGACCTGTCAACCGGTCAAAAATGCTGACATTTCTTGTCAATCGCAGAAAAAATAATTTTTTTGAGGAAAATGAAATTTCATACTCAATTAAGGCATTTCACAGAAACTAGCCCTAAAAAGAATTCGCTTTACTTCACAGAGGACTAACCAATAAGAGTGTTCTCCGCAATTCGTGTTCCGCGTCTAGGCTTAAAATCAACGTTTTGGGACGTGGCTCCCGAAAAAAACAATTGCCTGCGGCGAGCTTTTCGTCTAAAATATTTTTCGGGTTCGAGGTGTTCCAGAATCGGAGCTCTTGCATCATTGGTCTTCCTACGCTACGTAGCCGATTTTTCAATGAGCAGCCCAAATTTAAATAAAATAATATTCACTAGAAAATGTAATTGTTTTAAATAGGGGCGGCTTTTTCATGCCTGCACAAAGGCGGCAGAGGGGCTAGAACCGGCCCTGAATTCAATTTTATTTCCTACTGAACTATTATAACCATATAATACCTTGGTTACAATAATCATAAACAGGGTCTTAACTCCCAAGGGAGTTAACGATTTCCATAACTCCCGCTTTTACCTTGAATAGGTGAAATATTGACAAAAAATAGAAATTTTGGTTTATGGTTTATTCCTTTATAAAAATGGACAAAATACAGTAAATTCAGTAGGAAATAAAATTATCTATGTACCACGGGAATTATCAGGTGTTAATACCCACGGGCAATTGGTGTCCCTGGGGCCGAAGGCCCTCGGGATATAAAGTTTGCCCTGGGGTATTAACACCCTCATAATTCCCTTGATACATAAATAACTATTTTCAAAAAAGAAAACCACATAATTCATGTTATTAGAAACTTATTCGGCAGTTTTATTTACAGACCTAATCGAGGATTAAATATTATCCATTCACAATCCGATGTCCACCGGTACAGATAAAATTTATCACCTTTCAATGCTATTTGATAGGGCAAGGTGATAAATTTAC